TTTGATAATTACTTAAACATAAAAAGATTATAATAATATAAACATTATAATTCAACAATAAGAAGAGAGTTATAATGCAAGTTTTAGGGAGTCAAGTGAATGACGTTATCATAAAGTCATGTTGCTTCCCCTTCGTGGACATTGCACGGCTCCAAAATAAAATTCATAACTGATTCTCCTTCTATGGGCACGACCATATGGAGATAAAGAACGAGTCTTTTATCAAATTGTCAAAAACTATAGAAATATAGTATGGAAATATATATAGGAGAATGATTCTTCAACTTGTATTTTCAAGTCGTATATCAAGTTGTATTTTTTTTCTTGTCAAAAAAACAATGAAATTTCATGTCCCTTACCATAATGAAAATTAATTCATTAAAAAGAGGTTACATCTAATATAATGATATATTAATTTTATATTAAATCTGAAATTGAAAACAAACCTTAAATATAAAATGTATTAATTTTGAAATTTAAAACTTTTAATTTTATGTTTAGACTATACTTTAGAGAAATTGACCCATTAGTAGTATGTTGAATAAAGACAGGATGCATATATTTTTTTTATATTCAAAAGAATTTTAGATAAACAGAACAGGTTGATTGGTTTCAGTTTATATTCAAAAAAGTAACTGGAAAAAAATATTATTTGTTCATTGTTTGTTTATGTATCCTGCTTCTGTTGTGCTTGGTCGACATTTTACAAATAATACTGTTTCAAGTGTTTTGTCCATTCATATGTGAAGTAGAATTACTGTTTTTTTAGTTTTTGACATCTAGGTTTATTTTGGACTACGAAAGATATTTAGGGTTCGTTTGATTACAAGAATGGAATTTCGGTAGAAAGAAAATGAATTTTAGGAAATTGAATTGTCTAAAACTTGTTTTACTCAAAATTGTCAAATAAGTGTGTTTGATTTGTATAATTATATTTTCAATCTAGTTTAATTGGGTAAATTTGTTCAACTATGTAGTACTCTTTAATATGATTTCAATAGGCTTCATCTCCTAAGTCCTACCTAGGGGTGGACATGAGTTGGGTTGGGTCGACTTTTACCTCAACGCAAATCCAATCCAATCCAATCCAACAAAACCCAACCCAACCCGTGTAAAAGTTGAAACCCAATACTAATTCTGAATAGACAAGATTAAATAGTAAGTAAATAAATAAATAAATAAAATTATCTATTATCTTATTCAATCCTCATTAGTCAAGCCTACAAANTTTTTTATATTCAAAAGAATTTTAGATAAACAGAACAGGTTGATTGGTTTCAGTTTATATTCAAAAAAGTAACTGGAAAAAAATATTATTTGTTCATTGTTTGTTTATGTATCCTGCTTCTGTTGTGCTTGATCGACATTTTACAAATAATACTGTTTCAAGTGTTTTGTCCATTCATATGTGCAGTAGAATTACTTTTTGTTTAGTTTTTGACATCTAGGTTTATTTTGGACTACGAACGATATTTATGGTTCGTTTGATTACAAGAATGGAATTTCGGTAGAAAGAAAATGAATTTTAGGGAATTGAATTGTTTAGAACTTGTTTTACTCAAAATTGTCAATTAATTGTGTTTGATTGGTATAATTATATTTTCAATTAATTGTGTTTAATTGGGTAAATTTGTTCAACTATGTAGTACTCTTTAATATGATTTCAATAGGCTTCGTCTCCTAAGTCTTACCTAGGGGTGGACATGAGTTGGGTTGGGTCGATTTTTACCTCAACCCAAATCCAATCCAACTTGATCGATTCGATCAAAATTTAACCCAATCCAACCCAACCCGTGTAAAAGTTGATACCCAATACTAATTCTGAATAGACAAGATTAAATAGTAAGTAAATAAATAAATAAATAAAATTATCTATTATCTTATTCAATCCTCATTAGTCAAGCTTACAAAGAACAAAGTGCATTTAACATAACATGAAAGGCTTATACAACATTTCTTGTGGGAAGAATAGTAAGATGCTTCTCTAAAATACACTAAGGTAATTACAGTTACACTATCTACTCATACTTTTTAGATTTATTTTACTTTTCTAGACATTTTATTTCTTTTATGTTATTATTATTTTTTTAAAGTGACGGGTTGGGTTGGACGAGTTTATTCGATTTTTATAAGTTAACCCATAACCCAACCTAACTTAACCCAACTCGCCTACACATTCAACTCACACAACCCATGTAAAAACAATTAAAAAAAACCCAACCCGGTCGGGTTGGTTCGATTTTGGCAGTTTGGACAAGTTCGGTCGGATTTTTCCCACCCGTATCTCCAGCAAAACAAGAAAAAATCTTTCCACTACTGATGTGGCAAGAGAACTTTATTTAGTTTTCTCCATTTGAAATTAAATTAAAATAAAATTACCTGAATAAACAAATCAAAGTTTAGATACTTAATCGAAATACAGTGAAAGTATAATTATCATAAATAAAATTTACCCATGATAGCTTGTTGGGGTCGACACTTCCCAAAGAAACAATACACATGAAATTAGTAAAAACCTCTATAATTAATCACGATATCAAGGATTAAAGAGAGATTGTGTCTCGTTTAAGAAAAGCGGTTCCTCTGCATAATTTTTCTTTAACATATACAGAAAAACAATGTTTAACTTAGGCAAATACAAATTAACATACGTAAGGCCTCTCAAAATAATTTCTTAAAACAATTCTTATAACCATCGAAGTAGGTTAGCCACAATATCGATCTTAATTGGATGTTTGGTAGAGATTAAAATTAGATTTTTAGTAGATTGTGATATAAGTTTTTGAAATGTGTGGTTGAAAAACTGTGGGACTCAAGAAAGATGTGATTAATATTGATTGTTTGACTTTGATTTANCACACAAAATCATCACAAAAAAATCCCAACCGGTAAAAACTCCGAACATTTTGCTAGCCAAAAATCCACTATAAACAAATTTAGAGAGTGTTTGGTGGAGATTAAAATTAGATTTTTAGTAAATTGTGATATAAGTTTTTGAAATGTGTGGTTGAAAATCTGTAGGACTCAAGAAAGATGTGATTAATATTGATTGTTTGACTTTGACTTAGATTAAAATCTAATTTTAATTCGAAACAAACAGGGCCTAAGTGCTTGTTTGATAAAAATTTACAACTTTCCAATTTGTCGAACTTTAATATTGATTATACATTTCATAAGATTCACAACTTTTATCAATTTTTTAACTATCTATTTCATCACCTGATATGAAATTTTTGTCAAAAGTTTCATCTTAACCATTTATAAATGGGTCAATTTCACAAACGGACACTAAAGTTATGTCAAAATCACAAAACGGTCACTGAAGTTTAAAACTTGCACTAACGGTCACTGAAATATCATCCAGTTTCACAAATGGTCACTGAAGGAACTATTAGGACTGTTATGATGTTAATTCAATTTTAAAGGACCAAAACACATGGACATAGAAGCTTGAGGACCTCGTTGGTAAAATTCTCC